TACATTTTAGCATTAATTCAAGAATATGCTTAATCAGATCGATGGAGTTGCTTCGGCCGGTAAACCGCTTGCTGTGTAATTTAGTTGTAGACCATCTTCAAGCGATCATATGTCGATTTCCAACGCCTTCTAAAAGAAAAAGATAAGCGTTTAAAATAGTAAAAATTATGCGCTCAATTTAAAATGGCATTTCCATGCATATGCAACCTATGATAAAGAATAGAATTAGCAAAAAACAGATTAGAGACAAAAGCGCGCCATAATCCCATCAATTTAGCTCTTCAAAATAAATGAAAAGCACAGCGGAAAAGCAGTCAAATGGGTTGTCTCGATACCGTCAAGAGACACATATGAGGATATTCCAGAAGGAAAAAGATGGACAAAGCATACTCATGCTAAGTATGATAAAGAAGAAGCGGTAACGGTCAGAATGTGTAAGATGAAAAGAATAGATATCATAGACCTGAAATTAAATCCATATGTGGTCATGCTGTAAAAAATGGCGAATAATCGCTTTTAAATAATAGGATTCAATTAAAGAAATACAGTACAACTTATAAAGATGAGATGAAATATTGTTAGACAGCAAACTGAGGGTTTTCTGTCTGTCTCCGTTGATGTAAATGCGAAGTGGTGAGCTAGATGGGTCGATCTCATTAGAAAAAATGACCTATTGCCTTAGGTTAACCAGGAGTTTGTCGGAATAAGGTAGTTTGGGAATGTATCAGGTCAATTATCCGAAGCTGGAAATCACGAATACTATGGCAGAGGACACCGACCTAGGTACGTTCCACAAGGTCTCCCTGACGCTGCGAACAAGTTGCGAAAACAAGGACGAACAATCACTATAAGGCTAAAGGAGACTGCGGCCAAAAAGGAGACCACACTATCTTGGTCTTAACACCTAAGATCTAATAAGATAGCTCTTTTTTATACAATCGTATGAAACGATATGTAGGCTTAGTGAAAATATTTAACGCTCATTGGCTCTATTTTATAATAAGGTCAATTTGGTTAGGTTTGGCAGCTTGCTTGCTTGTGTAAAAAGAAGAGTATATCTTATGTGAACCTTAGAAAAATGAAGATATGAAGATCAAGATGTTGTGGCCTCTGATATGGTCGCAGTACCTTTCGATTTATAGAAGTGGGTTGACCTCGTTGTCGCAACTTGGTCTTGTTGTCAGGGCGACTTAGTAGAACTCACTTAGTTCAAAGTTGTCATGATTCCCAGCATCAGACAGTTGACTTGATACATTCTCAAACATTTCGCCGGCATCATATTCGGCATCATCAGTGAGTTTTGCCATTAA